CGATGACCATCAGATGTTCCCAAGTACCCATGTCACAAGCCACAGTGGGCCACTTTGGGGGGCGAGGTTCCAAACTCGCAAGGGGTCTTGGTTTGGGTTTTTGACAAACAGGACACTCAAACCTTTCAGCCTCTTCCAAAACAGAACTGCGAACCCCTCTCCTACATAACGCTTGAACCATGTGATGTTTTGATCCATGCCCGGTCGCCGCATGAAGGAGATAAAGTTTCTTCTTGATTTGTTCCCTACTCAACCCTTCGGGGTGATTGGGGGGTTCACAGGCTCTCCAGTCCCATCACCCACGGCTCCGACAGCCAACCCATGCTGTGTTTTCCGGGCTGAAACCTGAAGTGTTGTGGTTGGGAATTTCCTTGATAGTTGTTGGGGGACTGGACAAATTGAGATTGACCCTGATGAGCACAACTGCCACTCTACACCACGACCAGCTCTCGCTGATCTCCGCTACCGTGCAAGCGGACAAAGAACCCTAGTGGCTTAGATGTTGCAAGAACGACGCAATCCGAAATGGAGGGGCCTCTGCGCCTCAAAACATGGATGTCTACGCTCAATCTCTTTTTCCTCCTAAGCCAATTGGTCGCGGAAGATGCGATCATGGCATCTGAGCAAATCTGGGAACCTGCAATATTGCTGTATAACTGTATATAATACCTATATTGATTATCGAAGGAAGTTTAGAAGTCAAACTTCCGACAATATGGACAGATGAAAAGCAGAGATGGGAAGAGGCAGTGAGAAGAGAAGAGCAGAAGAGAGAAGATGATAGAAGAGAAAGAGTCAGAAGAAAGAATGCAGATGCGCGAAAAGGTAGGAAAGTCGCGAAACACTGTGTTTTTCCAATGATTTGTGGCTCCGGAGGGTCGAAAAGTAGGCTCGCTAAAGCGGCGGGTGCGGAGCCATCTGGCCAGATGAGAGATGAACAATTGCACGCCGTTGTGGCGCGGAGCACATTTCGAAGTCAAAATGTACAAAGCACACAATGCTCGGACCACTTTTGGAAGTTGATGGCGAAAAAGTGCGCGCCGTTGTGGCGCGAAGCACATTTCGAAGTCAAAATGCACAAAGCACACCATGCTCGTACCACTTTTGGAAGTTGCGATGTCGAAAAAGCGCACGCCGTTGTGGCGCGAAGCACATTTCGAAGTCAAAATGTTAAAAACACTATATAGGGGTTCGGACCACTTTTGGAGGTTCAGATGTGCATTCGCGTGGCAGGCGCAAGGGATTGCGGACCTTGTCAAAAGTGAGCAAAACGTGAGGGTCTTGTGGCATTTTCAAAAACGATGGCAGGCGTGGGGCATTTGAAGAGGATCTGGAAAGATGCATTTTCCGTGGCAGGCACAATACAAGAGACATGTTCATCAGAGCTGTTAGGAGGTCCGGGCGTTGATTTCCTGAGAGGGGTTGCATTAGATAGGTAGATGGGTAGGTAGATAGTCAGAGAAAGAGAGAGAAAGAGAGGAGACCTCAACCACCTTTCGGTCCATCAGTGGCTTCGCTCTGCCATCCGTGATTCACAACAACCAACCTCTCCTATAGGTTTCCTATTTTTGAAACTTCCGCCACCGCCTTGTGCGGTACTACTGGTAATTGCAAAAATACATTGCTGTATTATACTTTGTCAATGCCGGTGTTCCAGGACCCACTCCATCATGCGGGTTGCTACAACGGCCTCCCCCGTCTCGGGTTCTGATGTTCGCGAGAAGATGGTGGTGCTGCAGTTGAAGAAACATTTCGCTCGCTTTGAGGCAGGGCGGGTACCAACACCTTCACCAAAGCCTTCACTAAAGCCTTCCCTTCAGATTTTCCATCTGTTGTTCTTCAAAGCCTCATCTCGGAGAAGCTTGAAACAACCTGTCATTTGTTTTCCAAGGCAACTGTTTGATCTTGGTTTCTTGATCTTAATTTCTTGAGATTTTTAACTATTTCTCATCGTTTCTCATTTGGAACACTTGTGAGCTGCGGTTTCCGCCCCTGTGCCGTTTTTTTCCAACACCTCGATGTTTCAAGGCCTTGGTGCAGCCTTACTTGCGAGCTTGGCGACACCGCCAGACTGAACTGACACTAGAACCAGTTTGTTTGACTCAAAGTATGACTCACAGCATGAATGCAGTATGAATCAGTGAATGAGATAGGAAGGTAAGAAATGGCGGAATGGCGGAATATTTGGTCTACTTGAGCTATGGTATGGTACGCCATAGCTATCTTACACACGTTCCAGCATGTTCCAGCTGCGGATTTGCCAACGTTTCCCTATGGCTTCCTGCCGGCAGTTTCTTGTGAGTCATCATCCATCAACCCTTCGAATAGGATGCGTCCCCAAATCCACAAAAATCCAACGCTCCAAAAAGATGATAAAACAACACATAAAGTCAACAAATCTACATAGGAAGAAAATATATCCAACAGAGCTACAGGCTTGACAGGCGACAATCTGGCTTGCGGATGAGAAGCTGCCGGCATAGCATAAGGCTTTTCCGCGGCCTGCCTAGTTGAGCAAAAGTCTCTCCAGCATCCCAAAGCAGGCCCTGCAGACACATGACTTGCGGGCGCGAATGCATGTTTTCTAATGCCTTGCTTGTGTTCCGATGCAGCCTGAGCCGCACTTTTTGGCCCGATTGTGCATAGGCAAAGCATTGTGGAGGCCTAATGGGCCTAACTCACAAGTGCTTTAATTGATTTAAATCTGGCTTGGTGCGCTTTAGAAAAGACACGTGCGATGTCAAGCAGCTTGAGGTAGTGCAGTAACTTGTGACATGAATTGATGGAGATATGAGTTGCGCAACGTTCGTGCATCATATCGCATGTGTTCTCACCTTTTCTCCATCTACATATCATGTTTTCTGCATAAACCTTCTTTTGTTTGACTTCAGTGGTTTTGTATAGTTTTGTGGCTCGAATATCGTTGCATAGTGGCATAGTTGTAGCTAGCCAACACTATTACCAACAATGGAGGCTGCGACCGTCATGGTGGACTTGGTGAGCCTGGTGATGTTTGGTTTCTGGTACTGGCTCTTTGGTGTGGGTCATGAGATGGGCCATGTCTTGTGCGCAGTCTTCTTGCGACACTGGCCGTCATTTTCCGTCCAGAACTTGGTGGCGTTGATGCTGTGCAGACGAGTTCACATCCCCATGCAGACTTCCAAAACTTCCAAGACCTCATCGACCCACTAGAATCAGTTTGGCTCAAAGTATGACTCACAGTATGAGTGAGGTATGAATCAATGAATGAGATAAGAAGGTAATGGCGGAATGGCGGAATATTTGATCTACTTGAGGTATGGTATGGTATATTTTAGACATTTTCCAGCTGCGGATTTGCCAACTTTTCCCTATGGCTTCCTGCCGGCAGTTTCTTGCGAGTCATCATCCATCAGCCCTTCTAATAGATGCGTCCCCAAATCCACAAAAATCTACATAGGAAGAACATACATCCAACAGAGCTACAGGCTTGACAGGCCACAATCTGCCTTGCGGGTGACAAGCTGCCGGCATAGCACAAGGCTTTTCCAAAGCCATGTATTTTTCCCGGCCAAATTTGTCCAAAGCCTAATTCGGAATTCGCGACATGCCTAAAGTCTCTCCGGCATCCCAAAGCGGGGCGCTTCAGACGCATGACTTGCGAACACTTCGAATGCATGTCTAATGTCTACAGTAATGCCTTGCTGCTGTTCCGATGCAGCCTGAGCTTCACTTCCTGGCCCCATTTTGCATAGGCAAAGCATCGCATCATAGAGCATCGTTCAACGGCAAGGTCTTGGTCTAGGTAGGAAGGGGCCGGGTTGAACGTTTGAGCATTGCATCGTATGACATTGTATCACATAATCATTACACTCTCTTCTGTTACTCGCTATGAAAGTGGCTGAGAAACACATGCCACGATGACCTGCTGGGTGGCCGCGCAAAAACCCGCTGGAATCAAAAGGAACGAAAGACCGCCGACACCTCCTTACAGCTTTTGAGAACGATTGCTGTCAGGTTTGCGTGGCTGAGACGTGTTTCAGTGAACCCAGTAGCGTTCTCTGAGACACAAGCGTTAGTGTGGAGTGTGAAGTGTGGAGTGGGAAGTGTGGTTTGTGTAGTACACTCTACACTCCACACTCCACACTCCACCACGCTCTACACTCTACACCCACCACACTCCTCACTCCACACTCCACACTCCTTACTTGACACTCCTTACTTGACACTCCGCACTCCACACTCCACACTTTACACTCCACACTCCACACTCCACACTCCATTCTCTACACTTTACACTCCACGCTTTACACTTTACACTCCTCACTCCACACTCCTCACTCCTCACTCCTCACTCCACACTCCACACACTACACTCCACACTCCACACTCTACACTCCACACTCCACACTCTACACTTTACACTCCACACTCCTCACTCCTCACTCCACACACTACACACCACACTCCACACTCTACACTTTACACTCTACAGTTTACACTCAACACTCCACAATCTACGCTTTACACACCCTACACTCCCCTCTCAACACTTTACACTGTGCACGCCTTACTTTTACACAAAGTTTGCACAAAACTACTTCCCAGTACTACTGTGTACTACAAAGCTTGCACAAAGTCAGTTCCCAGTACTACGTTGTACGACAAAGCTTGCACAAAGTTTTTCGTTAGCGCTCCTGCAAGGATGATAACATTATTCCCTGCAACAAAATCTTTTGCCTGTTTTGTGAGGCAAAAGAAACCCAACAAGTGTGAACCAAAACTCAACTGTTTCAAATCGAAATTTGATTTCCCACAACTGCTGTTTTTCCAGAGTTGGTGGTTTCCGTTTTTCCTTTCTCAGGTTGTCAAGGTTTTGTTAAACTTGTTGAAACAAATCACTGAGAAATCTGAAACTCCGTTCTGAACTCCTCTGGGTAGGTCTAATATCTGTGTATATGTCAGTCCTGCGGTTCAAGCGTTCTAGCTGGGGGGTGTTGCAATGTTGTCGTGGTGCGGAGATGGATTCATTTTATTTGGATGACTCTGATCATAACAACTTAATTGGTTCAGATGATGCGTTACAGACAGTAGCTGAAGAAGAGACTGGCTTGGATCTAGACACAGCACTGCTGCCTGGGCCTCAACAGTCTGGACCTGAAGTCGCCGTTGGTGCACCCTCACATGAAGCTGGACAGCCGAGCACTTTTAATTTTGAGTCTTTGCTTGCACATGCCATGCGTAACGTTGCTGAATCACCAGTACAACTGCCATGGGAGTCAGATGAGTGGGCCTGCATTTTTGACCCTAACCACGATTCCTTGGATGCGCTTGTACCTCAGTTTGAGCCCAAGCTCAAAGTGCCGAAGCTGATTCACGATAAACCTTCTGACAATTTAGTTTCACAACCAGATGTTTCCAGTTCTGATTTCACAAAGCCTTTGTTCATGGTGGCAGTTTCCAGAAGGAAAGACCAGGTTTGGACAGAGAAGCGAGAAGCTGAGTTGCAAAGAGCTCTCATGAAATGGGACACTATTGTCAGAAATTGGCCAGATGAGTGGAAATGCAAACAAGAACTTTTGGCATGTCCGACAGTGAATGATTCAATGAACTTGCTTGGAGACTACCTGACAGGGAAAGCGCCGGCAACCCTGTTGAAACGTGCAAACAGTATGGTGTTTTTGCATACCACCCTACAACAGTTGGGATTCTTTTGGCCCCTTGAAGAACCAGAAATGTACAGGATCATTAAGACCTTGCATTCAACTGGCAACCGCACTAGCCGATTGAAGTCCATTCTTGAAGCTGTTACCTTTTGCAGGTACTCCTTTGACATCAGCGACCTCCACCCGATCACGGTCAGCAAGCGTTGTTTGGGAGCCACTGGGAGTGATTTTGCAAACAAGTTGAATCAAGCTTCACCCTTGACAGTTGCAGACATTTGGCATTTGCATACATGTTTGGATAATGGGGATGCTTGGGACAGAGTGTTCAGTGGGGCTGCTCTTTTCTGCATTTACGCACGTGCAAGATGGAGTGATTTCATTCACGGTAATTGCATCAGAGTTGATGTGCTGGAATCTTCCGGCAAAGTGGCCTACGTGGACATGGAGGTGCAAATCCATAAGACCATGCAAGCAACTGCAAACAAGTTCAAGTTTTTGGATTTGGTCGCGTCTGGCAGTGGAATTTTTGGAGATGATTGGGTGAGGGGTTGGATAGATGCACTCAAGAATATTGGTGTTGATCCTTTTTCGAATGAGCCCGGCAAGACTTTGATGCCAGCGCCAGCTGAAGATGGTACAACTCTTCAACGGGCCTTGGAGAGTAATGAGGCAAGTGTATGGCTGAGACTGATGCTGGGTGAAAACGTTAAACGTAGTGAAAGCACACGGCAGATCTCATCACATTCACTCAAAGCAACCATTCTTTCGATGGCGGCAAAGCGGGGTTGAAACACGAGGACAGGTTGGCCATGGGGCACCATGCACATCCTTTTAGGATGGCTGACACCTATGCCAGGGACGCACAAGCAAGGACAATCCGTTTGATTGATAAACTTTTGCTGGAAATTAGGGCAGGATATTTTGATCCTGACACAACGAGGGCTGGGAGGTTCAACAAGAACTATGCGCCAGACCCTTCATTGGATGTTGGTGCAGTCTCATTTCTTGAGAGTGATGTCGAGAGTGCTGCATTGGACGCCCAAGTGGATGAGGCGCTGGACAATGCCGTGCAAACAGTTGAAGATGGACAGATAGAATTAGAGGAAGATCATTTTACAAGTTCTTCTTCAGACAGTGAAGCTGAGAGCGTGGAATACAATGCACCTGTCAGGATGTTTTATCCACCATCGGCACCTTTAGGTTTCCACTTCATGCAGAATAAGAGGACCAAGACTCTTCACCTTGTTGATGCGAAGTATCCACATGGGACTTGTTGTGGCCGGGTGTTGGACAAGAACTTTTCAGAGCCTGCACAACTTAGATATGATTCAGCCGTTTGCCATGTTTGCCGAAGGCACAGGATGGCTTAAAAGCATACGAGATTTTTGCCGAACGATGGAGCAAAATGTAGGTGCATGTTGAGTCGGTGTGAAATCTCTTTTGAATAGATGTCACCAGTCAACATTTCGACCGGGGTGGTTTGAGATTTTTCCAACCGGTCATTTGTTGTTCCAGCGTATTCACGGGTGGTTGCAACAGTGCTGAGTCAGTTGATCTCAACCCGAAAATTTTTAAGTTTGAAACCTTTTGCAAACGTGGTGATCCAGTTTGGCAGGAAGGTTGCACACGTGACCATGGGTGGTTCCCCCCCAACATGGTCAGTAAAATTCTTGAGTCATTTTGGAGAAATATGGGCAATGTGTGGTAACCCAACATTGTGCTGCCAGAGATCCATTGAATCCGAGCCTGTGGGGTTGCGGTGGAAAATTCATTCAAGTGGGTCTTTGGCTCCAGTCTCAGTCAAGACAGTTAGACTTCAGAGATGTCAATACACCCAAAAGAATTGGGTCAACTATTTGATAGTTGAGCCTATTGTTTTGTAAACATGCACAAAATGGAACGGAAACGCCAAACACATAAACTTGTTGAACGCCATTTTTAACAGTGACTTGAAACGCGAAAGGTCGCAAGTTTATTTCAACAGTGCCTTGTCATTTCCAGTTGTCATCGGTGACTTCAACATTGTTTTAGGGAAACGGTGGTGCAGCGCAGCCATGACCTTAATTGATTCTGAAGCTGCATTCAAGCAACGTTGTGCAGAGTTGTCAACCGCCACATTGGATTTGCATACACTGCTGAAAGCTCAAAGTATTTCATGTTTCTCAGAGCTGGCCTTTGCGTGTGGAGCCCCCAACAAAGCTCCTACCGATGATGAGTTCAGAACCTTTTCAACACAGGTCTTGGGAGGTGGTTTCACAGCAGGGCAACAGAGCGTGCTGAGAAGAATCCACTTTGAAGCAGCAACATTTGTTTTGTCGCAGTTGAAAACAGCAGTGACCAGTGATGCTTTAGATGGCTCAAAGAAGTTGCCGTTTGCAGAAAAGCAAGCTAGGTACGAGATGGTCAGAACCAAAATACCTGGATTCCTGGTTCAAGGTGAAACAGAACCATCCCATGCGTTGCTGGACAAGTGCCAGAACATTTACGACACAGGAGCAATCATTTGGGTTTCTCCATCAATGTGCACCAAGAGGGATGCAGAAGTACAAGCAATGCCAAAGGACTCACACCAGATCCTTCGCATTGAGTCACAGACGCTTAAGGTTGGAACGGATGGACCTAAGCTGGATGATGCAGACCATGGATCAGAGATTAAACTACAATGGTGTTTTCAGCGCAGAGGCGTGGCATTTGAGATGTGCAACATGGTGTCTTGGGATATATCCCAAAAATGGCTGGCCACGATGTTTGCAGCTTACTCAACAGACCCTCCGCCGGGGTTTGGAAAGATCAGCTTACAACAACTGGTGTCGGCAGACAAGGCAATGTGGACAATATTGGCTAGAGAGCTGTCGACTGTAAAGCCAGACAATACGGGAAAGAGACCGCTGGATGAAGCCATTTTGAAACTGATGCATGACCCTCGCATCACAATGTACATGCTGTCCCTTCCCAACAAAGGGCCAGCTTCCTCAGTGCAGACGAGGCCAGCCAGTACCGCCGCCACAACACCTACCACTGTGCAGCCAAAGAAGAAGGCCAGACCCAGCAAGAAGAACAGGACGGCCCCTACTCCTCCAGATGAGCTCAAAGGGTGCTATCAGCATACATCGGACAACAAGCCGATTTGTTGGTCGTATAATCTGAAGAATGGATGCTCCCTTGAGGCATCTGGACAGCCTCCCAAATGCAGAAGAGGAGTTCACATTTGTGCCTTCTGTCGCAAGACAGGTCATTCGTTTCAGCAGTGCAAAGCGGCTCCGGGGAAGTCTCCCCCCCACTGACAAAAGGCGAATCAATCGGAGACAGTTTCACATCACAATTTGTTGCAAGAGATGCCCAACACGCCTGAAGGCGCTCAGTTGGAAGATGGTGTCACCGACTCAAGCGATGCTGAACAACAGACGGCTGAAAAACGTTTCACTGAAGATCCAAGTGGTGCCACAACTCGAAAGGTTCTGTTTGAAAACATCCTTTTCTTGGAGGTCTTCGCTGGAACTTCTTCATTAACAATCGAAGTGCGCAAAACAAACTTGCGTGGAGTGGCTGTTGACAAAGGTACGGAGAGAGCGAAAGGGCCTATCACAATTTTGGACCTCACCATGCCAGAAGACTTGCAGTTCCTGATGGATTTCATTCGGCAGGAGGCCCTTAACCTTTGCTTGGTTCATTTTGCACCACCCTGTGGGACCTGTTCAGCCGCCAGAAAAAGGAAGTTACCTTCAGAAGTGCAAGCGAAGTTGAAAGACTCCGGAATAACTCCGCCACAGCAGTTGCGTTCCGAACAATTTCCAATGGGGCTCCCAGGGATTGCAGGTCTTGATTTATATAAAGTGGAACAAGCCAATAAACTGTACTTTGCAACAAGGGATTTAGCCCTACTGGCGATTTCACTGGGTATACGAGTTTCAATGGAAAACCCCACCAATAGCCTCTTTTGGAAAACGGATCCTATTCAAGAACTTTTGCAAGCTCATCCGGGACACTGCAATGTTTTTCACAACTGTATGATGGGCGGTGAGAGACAGAAACAGACAACTTGGTGGTGCAATGACCAATTTTTCTCTTCATTTAATTTACCTTGTTCAGGGGATCACCCTCACAAGCCATGGACACCGACTTTGACAGCTGATGGTGTCCATTATCCTACAAAGGATGAAGCGGAGTATCCAAAGCTCCTGTGTCAGAGAGTGGCGGCGCTTTTAATTGCTGATTTGCAGGCGCAAGGCATTGAACAACCGCAAACCTTAACACAGCAGATTGCACAACGACGCACTACAGCAATCAACTCAGTAGCTATGGGCCTACTTCCCAGAGGTCAAAAGCTGAAGCCTTTGGTCAGCGAGTTTGGTCATTACGTGCAATTTGCTGTCAGGCCAGATATGGATGCAAGCCGCATTCTGCCACAACTCACAAAAGGAGCTAGGATAACCGACCGGAAACTTCTTACTGGGGGTGACAAGCGGGTTTCCGACTTAACTGGTGAATCTCTGAAGTACTTGGAAGGTTTTCATGTTAACAATGAGACAAAGGTTGAGCTTGTGACGTTTGGAATCCCAAGAGAACCTTGGGATTTTGTGAAAAAGGCTGCACAAGTTGGGCATCCGAGATTCTTGCCATACGCGGGTTCGGAACAGCTTGATGACTTGTTGCGGACAAACCTGAACCATCATGCTTGCAGGTTGGATGATCTGAGACTAGCCTTTTTCAAGAAATGGGTGAAAAGAGCGAAAGAGTTAGAAAAGGATGAGCGAAATCTCAGACTGGATCTGGGAGAACATGTCAGACACGTTTTACAAGGGAAGCGTTTGTTGGTTTTCAAGGAGATGCTGGAGGACCTGCAGTTCCCAGACACAAACCTCGTCAGCGACATAATTTCGGGCTTTAGATTGTCAGGTTGGATGAGAGATTCGCAGGTTTTTATGAGCTTGCCCCGTCCTCCAAAACTAACCTTTGAAGCCCTCCTTAAGTCCTCCCTTGGTTTGCAAAAAGCCGTGCTCAAGCGTGTCAGAGAACCAGAGGATGCTGAGTTACACCTCGCCGCTTGGGAAGAGACTCAAGCAGAATGTGAGCGAAAATGGATCTGGGAGGACACAACTGGTGACCTTCACAACAAAATCATTGCACATCGGTTTGGTCTGAGGCAGAATGAAAAGGTGAGAGTAATTGACAACTTCAAGCAGTGCGGTTTGAACGATGCTTGCGGATTGCCTGAGAAATTCACTTTGCATGGGGTGGATTTTATTGCAGCTTCATTGATCAGAGCGCTGGTCTTGAATCAGAAGTCGAATCCGGTTGCCTTAAAAGGTAAGACATTCGACCTTAAAGCGGCATATAAACAGTATCCAATTCACCCTACAGATCGCCAGCACCTCAGGATAGCGATCTGCGATCCTAACACTTGCCAGGCAAAGCTATATGGCTTAAATAGCCTCCCCTTCGGGGCTATGGGTAGCATTGCTGGTTTCCTCAGAGTCAGTTCGGCCCTCTTTTATGTCTTGAGCGTGGGCTTGAAGGTATGGTGCAGCGCTTTCTTTGACGACTTCCCAACGATGGCAGCTGATGCAGAAGCCGCTCAGACGGATAAGTGCGTTGGCTTCCTGTTCGACTTGCTTGGGATACAGTACGCAAAGGAGGGCAAGAAAAACCAACCATTCAGTACCGAGATGAGAGCACTGGGCCTCATCTTCGACCTGGCTGGGTTTGACGAAGGTGTTGTCTTTATAAAGCACACGCCTGAACGCAGGTCAGAATTGTTGGAGAGAATAACAGCAATCCTGAACTCCGACGAGCTTTCCCCGAAGGAGGCCGAGTCATTCAGGGGCAGAGTGCAGTGGTTTGAAAGTTTCTTGTTTGGCCGGACGGCAAACCTTGCCATTCACCGACTTGGAAAAAGAGCCTTGATTAAAGGTGGAAGGCAGGGACATAAACTTGATGCAGAACTACGAACCTCCTTGGAATTCCTCCGACACAGGGTTGAACATGGAGCTCCTCTTCAACTTACTGCCACAACGGAGCAGGCTATTCTTATCTTCACCGATGGAGCCTTCGATGAGGAGACAGGCATCGGGTCAATTGGTGGAGTCCTCTTGGATCACACCGGCACAGCACTCAGCTACTTCAGTGAGCGGGTCCCTAACCTGCTGATGGAACTTTTCCTGAAAGAGGCGGAAAATCCAATTTACCTGGTAGAGCTGTTGGCGGTGCATGTTGCCGCCTTCCTTTGGGGTGGACAGACGTTTGGCAGGTACATAGTGATGTACATTGACAACGAAGCCTCCCGAATGGCCTTGGTCAAAGCCTACTCCTCCACCCTTCTTGGAAACGTTGTGATCCAACTCTTCGTGCAAGAAGAAGACCAACATCAATGGAAGGTGTGGTTTGGAAGAGTTTGCAGCCACTCAAATATAGCTGATGGCCCTAGCCGCGGACATGTTGAAGACATGAAAGCTTGTGGGGCTAAGCACAGCCAGTGTGCATGGGACGTGGTCATATGCTCACTGGAAGCAGTCGAGCACAGGCTCAGATGGGGGTGATGGCGGGTGCTCGATGTTGCATCCCATCATTCCGGTTGGAGCTTGAATAGACCCCCTTGCAGAAAAAGAAAGAGCGGCCACCATTCACTGAGTTGCAGTTGATTCAGAATTTCACATGTCAGTTTTGCACTTGGATTTTTTGGAAACCTCACATGTCGGATTTTTTTGCACGTTGGTTTTCATTGGCGCATTTCCCGACGTTGCGTATGATGTACTATAGATATGTATATATATATGTTGATATGAAGGGTTGGTTTAATATTACTTTACGTGGAGTCAGAGTATATGTCTTTTGACATTGCCAGCTTCTGGTTCTGCGTTCCCTGGTTCACACTTGGGTGGTTTTGTAAAGGGAATAAGTTAGCGCTCCTGCAAGGATGATAACATTATTCCCTGCAACAAAATCTTTTGCCTGTTTTGTGAGGCAAAAGAAACCCAACAAGTGTGAACCAAAACTCAACTGTTTCAAATCGAAATTTGATTTTCCACAACTGCTGTTTTTCCAGAGTTGGTGGTTTCCGTTTTTCATTTCTCAGGTTGTCAAGGTTTTGTTAAACTTGTTGAAACAAATCACTGAGAAATCTGAAACTCCGTTCTGAACTCCTCTGGGTAGGTCTAATATCTGTGTATATGTCAGTCCTGCGGTTCAAGCGTTCTACCCTCCCACAACCACCCTCTTGAACTTCCATATCTACCTTACATGTTACGTGCCAGACGACACACCAGTGTTCTGAGATTGCAAATCTTGCTCAGTCAATTGCTTTTCTTTGCGAAAGTTCGAATGACAGTCTTACAGTTGCAGTGCCACGTTGAAGAAACGGTGGACCTTCTGCAAGACATGGGATTTGACGGGCATTTCATCGTGGTCTTTTTGGACCAGATTCATGCCGAACTTCAAAGATTTTTACAAATGTGCACTCGAGCCATTTGCGGGCTTGAACATCGTCTTTATGACATTTTCTTACGACGCCTTCACATTTGATTGCAACTGTTTCAGATACCAGACGGATTTCCGTCCGTGGCTGCCTAACCCTTAGCCTGTGATGGCGGGTGCTCGATGTTGCATCCCATCATTCCGGTTGGAGCTTGAATAGACCCCCTTGCAGAAAAAGAAAGAGCGGCCACCATTCACTGAGTTGCAGTTGATTCAGAATTTCACATGTCAGTTTTGCACTTGGATTTTTTGGAAACCTCACATGTCGGATTTTTTTGCACGTTGGTTTTCATTGGCGCATTTCCCGACGTTGCGTATGATGTACTATATATATGTATATATATATATATGTTGATATGAAGGGTTGGTTTAATATTACTTTACGTGGAGTCAGAGTATATGTCTTTTGACATTGCCAGCTTCTGGTTCTGCGTTCCCTGGTTCACACTTGGGTGGTTTTGTAAAGGGAATAATCACTCTCTCACTCTCTCACTCTCTCACTCACTCACTCACTCACTCCCTCCCTCCCTCCCTCATTCGCTCATTCGCTCACTCACTCACTCACCCACTCACTCACCCACTCACTCCCTCTCGCTCCCTCTCACTCACTCACTCCCTCCCTCCCTCCCTACCTCCCTCCCCCCGACCCTGACTCACTCACTCACTCACTCACTCACTCTCTCACTCACTCACTCACTCACTCACTCACTCACTCACTCACTCACTCACTCACTCACTCACTCACTCACTCACTCACTCACTCACTCACTCACTCACTCACTCACTCACTCACTCACTCACTCATCCCTCACTCACACACACACACACCACACTCACATCACTCACTCACATCCCGCAGTTCACATCCATTTCACCACATCCCTCACACACACCACCTCACATCACTCACCTCACTCACCTCACTCACCTCACTCACCTCACTCACCTCACTCACATCACTCACATCACTCACATCACTCACATCACTCACATCACTCACATCACTCACATCACTCACATCACTCACATCACTCACATCACTCACATCACTCACATCACTCACCCGCTCCGCTCCGCTCCACTCCACTCCACTCCACTCCACTCCACTCCACTCACTCACCTGTACATGCACATACATACACATACACACACACAAACTCACCCACCATCACCCCTCCATCACTCTTATAGTTCCTCTTCCCTTCTTGCTTTTCTATGCTCAGTCTAAGTCTAGAGTCTAGAGAAGTTGGTAACATGTGGGGTTATCCGGTCCTATAATTGCTGTTGCTGTTGCTGTTGCTGTTGCTGCTGTTGGTGGTGGTGTTGTTGTTGTTGTTGTTGTAGTAATTGTAGCTGTGGTTGTTGGTCCTGTAGGTGGCTAGGACAGTAGAAGGACTTGCGTCCCTCAGCAAAACCTTCTTTGGTACGTGATATCTGAATACTGTTGTTTTTCACCGATGCGTATCATTTTTTTGCTGCAACTTTCGCAATTACGATCATTCTTATTGGAATGTTGTCCTATAATTTACCGATTTAGGGTCCTACCAAGATTGGGAACAGACACTACCGGTCTCCGAGGTTTGTTGATTATGACTGTTAACAATTCCTGAGAAGGCCTTCCTTGTAGTCATCGTGCAATGCAATTTTTTTAAGAGGCAGCAAAGATCAGAAACTCCATAGATGGAGAGCCGTGGCCTGCGTCGATGCCCGCGGCTGTCAAAGGTTTCCTAGTCCAAAAAACGCATTAGGACGCAATGTGACAAACTCCAAGCAAGAGTTGGCATCATCCTTCGAAGATAAATCACCGTGTGAACCCCAAAATGGGGTCCGATTTCTGCAGCAAAGACCGGGGCCCTCACAAAAGACTTCCCCGCTGCGTTGGAAAATGTGCTGAAACATGACCGTTGCCAGCATGTTTGCTAGTCATGAGGTATCTTGCGCACAATGCCAGGTGCATGTGTGCAAGAGATGGAACATGCAGTGTTCGTTGGGTATCAAACTGTGCTCAGCCCCGTGATGAATCCACTTACGAACATGCCCCTGAGTTTTCATGTGCTTCACACCAAACCGAATGGGTTTCGTGCTTGAGATGATCAGATGGGGTGAGAACTGTGAGCCCCACGCCGTACACGGCCAGTCAACGCAATAGTGTGGCTGCCGGCATGGACTTACTTTTGGGGTGCGTGTGGCTGTTTTCCGTACCACGGAACCCAAAAAATGCGGGGAAAACTGGTTGCACCCAGGTAAGTGCATGGAGGGTCAGAGCTGCAAGGTGAATCAATGGATGGTTGGCTGGTTGCTTGTTTGGATGGATGGTTTGATGGATGCATGGATGGAAATGTGTAAAAGTCGAGATGACTGTCAATAATAGTTGGTGTTCTCTGGTTAGTTGGTGTGCCTGCATCGATATGATGTTCACATGGAAATGCAAACCAATGTTTTCATATTTTTCATACATGTATATTCTACCAGTCTTGATGCACGAACTGGTTGAATGCCTCACTCTTCATGCAAATTCCCCAGATGTGACATCGATTCCAAACCCATTTCTTGAAAATCGTTTACCAAAAAAAAAACATCAAAATCAAAACAGGTTTATTTATTTTTGGTTGGCCTTTGAAATCTGTATATACCACGCATGCAGCAAAATTTGTCAGATTTCATCAGTTTGAGCACGAACAAATGGAACCACAACCAAGAGTACAGGCCCAAATATCATGCATGGTCTTACAAACTGATCCGTCTTCCAAGATTGACATTGGAATTTTGGAATTCAAATGTGATGGATTTGGATCACAATTCATGGTGTAAGTACCACAGGTACCAGCAACTTGTACTACAGAAATCGAAACCATCACATTTTTGGGTGCCCAATCTTTAGACATTCCCATAAAACTGTGAAAATCCATTTGAAATCCAGCGGCGCCGATGTTTGCTCCCGGGCTTGATGCTGTGGCTTGGTGAATGGGGAAAATGCCGACGACCGGAGTTGGAAGTATTTTCTTCAGACAAACCACATATGAAATATTATGAAATTACATTTTTGCAGAATGGGAAACCAAAAAAAACTGATATCTTTTGTATTCATTTGTTGCATTTCGTATGTCAACACAATCAATGAATTTTCCCAAAATTCACATTAATTATATAACCCAGCCCAAATGGAATTAATATTTTTACTTGGATAAACACACGCTGCGATGTTGATTGATCAACTTTTGGTTTCACGTTGATTTCGTAAGACTTCAATGATGCCGAGGTTTGTCCAGCTCTGAAGTTGGCGCGCGAACTCAGAAACCGGGAAATCAATGTAATATTAATGTGTATATATATATATAATTATATAATGTATATACGATTATATACACATATTTTGATAATGCTGGCAATATGTAGTTTTTTTTTTTTCCTCTCTCTCTCTCTCTCAATTCGTGGGTTTTGCCAAATTCATTTGTGAACCTGAACCATGGCATGCCTGCAGTGTGGTGTCACCTGTCTTGGAATCAATATCAACAGTGGCCTGCATACAGACATGTATACATAATTGCTTACTTACTTACTTACTTACTTACTTACTTACTTACTTGCATGCATGCATGCATACATAGATTGGATGGATGGATGGATGGATGGGTGCATGCATGGATGGATGGATGGATGGATGGATGCATGGATGGATAGATGGGTAGATAGGTAGATAGGTAGATAGGTAGTAGGTAGATAGGTAGATGGGTAGATGGGTAGATAGATAGATTGATAGATTGATAGATAGATAGATTAAATTAGATTAGATTAGATTAAAGATTAGATTAGATTAGATTAGATTAGATTCGACTCGATTCGATTCGATTCGATTCGGTTCGGCTCGATTCGATTCGATTCGGCTCGATTCGATTCGATTCGATTCGATTCGATTCGATTCGATCGATAGATAGATAGATAGATAGATACATAGATAGATAAGATAAGATAAGATAAGATAATATAGATAGATAGATAGATAGATAGATAGATGAGTTTTCGCTTCGCGTAAAAAAACTTGTTTCGTTCGATTCTCTTATTCTTC